TTTTATAAGAACGAAACGGCGCTTTTAGTGACATTTTGCATACAAATCCCCATCTAGTAGGGCGCAGTCACCCAGTTTCGGTGGAAGTGCGCGAGTTCGATTGGGATTCAAGTAGGAAGGGAGCGTCTCAGCTTTCTCGGACCAAGACCATTCGACTCAGCACCCCGAAGACTACAACTGGTGAAATTTTAATTTTTGCCTTAACTTCCCCTTTAAAAGAAGAGGCACCTGTGACGTGTGTTTGTCTGTGTGTTACGCAGAAGCGCTGAGGAGCAGCGCTGCCCTGAGCACGCGAAGCGTGCGAACAGTGTAGCTAGCGGCCGCAGAAGCACTGAGCACGCGAAGCGTGCGAATCGTGTAGCTAGCGGAAGCAGCCACAGAAGCACTGAGCACGCGAAGCGTGCGAATCGTGTAGCCACCACCAAGTGCTGAGCACGCGAAGCGTGCGAACAGTGTAGCTAGCAGACACGATCAGTACGAGTAGCAGTAGCAGCCGCGCGCAGAAGCATTGAGCACGCGAAGCGTGCGAATCGTGTAGCCACCTACCCTAGGCCATAGGTAGCACTAGCAGCCGCACAAGCGCTCTGCGGACCACGTGAACCGTTCTCTGCAAATAGAAACATCTGCAAAAAAAGGATACAAAAGATCTGCACTGACTGCACTGTGCATCTGATCTGCAGTGAAGAGCGCATCGTGCAGCTACCTTTCCCGCGGACCACGTGAACCGTTCTCTGCAAATAGAAAGATCTCCAAAAAAATGATACAAAAGATCTACAGCTTCCTTTTCCACGTGAACCGTTCTCTGCAAATACAAAAAACTTGAAGACTTGACCTAGGCGACGCTTTGCACTTTTTCATGTTTTGAGCCGCTTCATCCGCCACCAGGTGATGGACAACCCTGACCAGCCTCCCGAAGGCGTAACAGACGTCCCTCCTTCTCCTTCCAACGATGAAGAACCTCCCTCACCAGGACTTCAGCGGTCTGGGAAAAGACGCCGCCGGTTCTCATCAATAACGTCGTCCGACGTTGAAGAGGTCATTGCCCGCAGACGGGAACAAGCCAGGGTTCGAATGCAGAGGGCAAGGTCACGGGAAATTGAAGAACAGGCTGATCGCCGCAGACTTCTAAATCGTCGACAAACTGCTGCGACACACTCTCAGGAGACGCATGAACGAACTCTGGAACGCAGAGACCGTGACTGCCGCCGAACTGCTGAGGCACGTTCGCATGAGACACCTGAGCAGGCAGACAATCGCCGAAGTCAAAGCCGTATGCAAGTTGCCAGAGCGAGGTCACTCGAGACGCAAGGGGACACGGAGGTACGAAAAAGCCAAAATGCTCAGCGGCAGGGAGCACCCCCGGATGAAAATGCATCCGCCACAGGGCCAGATCCCCACGAACAGCCTATGGCCACTACAAGAGCAGGTGAGCGTACTGGTAATTTCACCCGTAACATACAGACCATTAAACCAGATATCTGGGGTAAACTGGGCTTCCATTACGACAGCAACTTGGACTCCCACTAACAGGTCCATCACATTAGGTGGCATGAACGTCCTGTGTAAGCATTGCAAGGCCAGAACGTGGAAAAATGAGCCGCCAGGTATATGTTGCTCAAGTGGAAATATTGATCTCCCAGACTATGCAGAGCCACCTCAGCCGCTCAAAAACCTGCTTTCTGGCCTTACAACTCAGGAATATAAGCACTTCCTCCAGAGCATTCGCAAATACAACAGTGCATTCCAAATGACATCATTTGGTGCGAATGAGCAGTACATGGACGGCTACATTCCAACGTTCAAGGTGAAAGGGCAAATCTACCACAGACTTGGGTCAATCCTTCCCCGGCAGGCGAAGAGCACAGGTTCTTGCAAATTTATTTCATGGGTGACAGCGAGCGAGAAACTAGCAGGCGGTGCGAAGTTATTCACAACCTCCACCACGTCACTGTTGCTGACCTGCAGGCGATGCTCCATGCGCACAATCCGCACATCGTCAACATCAAGACGGCATTGGATGTTGGCAATGTCCCAGACTTGCGACTGAAGACGCAGTGAAGTTGAGCGCAGACCGAGCACCACAAGGTGAACACACCCACGGTCAATGAAGTTGCCGTTCTGATAGCAGGCCATGCACACTGAGCACGCAAAGCGTGCGAATCGTGTAGCCACCACCACGTGCTGAGCACGCGAAGCGTGCGAACAGTGTAGCTAGCAGACACATGCATGCACTACTGTGGCTCCAGCATTCAATTCCATCTGCTGATGTGGATGATGTTGTTCGTGCGGAAATTCCCTCGGCGGAGGATGACCCTGTCCTCCATGACTTGGTCAAAAAGCATATGAACCATGGACCTTGCGGTGCACTAATCACAAGCGCGCCATGCATGAAAGATGGGAAGTGCAGCAAAGGGTACCCCAAACCAATGGTGAAACACACCCAGACGGACAGGGATGGATACCCTCTTTACCGCAGGCGCTCCGGGGAAGATGGCGGGTCATTCACGGTGTTGAAAATTAGAAATGAAGAAGTCGAAGTCGACAACAGATCGGTTGTGCCTTACAACCCAGTCCTCCTTCGATTGTTCAGTGCGCACATCAATGTGGAGGTGTGCAACTCTGTAAAGGCCATCAAGTACATCACAAAGTACATCAACAAAGGTTCGGATCAGGCAGTCTTCGGTGTCCAGAATGAGAACGATGAGGTCAGCAGGTACCAGACAGGTCGGTATGTTTCCAGTAGCGAGGCAGTCTGGCGCATTTTTGGCTTCCCGATTCATGGCAGGTATCCAACAGTCACCCACCTTGCGGTTCACTTGGAGAATGGCCAGCGAGTCTACTTCACAGAAGAGACCGCCCATGCGGTAAGTGAGAGTCCGCCAGAGACTACTCTCACTGCTTTCTTCAAGCTTTGTGCCACTGATGCCTTCGCGAGAACTCTTCTGTACAACAGCGTGCCTTCCTACTTCGTGTGGGATGCCCAACGGAAGAAATTCAAGAGACGCAAAGTCGGCACTCTTGTCCCAGGCTACGAGGGGGTCAGGAAAAGTGATGCTCTCGGCCGAGTGTACGCTGTGCACCCAAGGCAGGCAGAGTGCTATTACTTGCGACTCCTTCTGCACACTGTTCACGGGCCGACTTCGTTCGATGATGTCAGGACAGTAGATGACCAAGTTTGCGAAACGTACAGGCAAGCCAGTCAGCTTCGGGGTCTGCTGCAGGACGACGAGCATTGGCTCAGTGCCTTGCTTCAGGCTGCCGAGTCCAGCCATCCAGCTGCGATCAGGCACCTCTTTTCCATCATGATGTCCTTCTGAGAAGTTAGTGATCCTTTGCGACTATGGAATGAATACCGTGAGGCAATGTCAGAAGATTACTTGCAGGCGGCGCGTCGACAGGAAGGGAATGAGGCGCGAACATTTTCTCAGATGGAGTTCGATCAGTGCCTTTGCGCCATCCAGACACACCTTCTCACCATGTGCGGTAGAACCTTGGTAAGTGCAGGCCTTCCAGACCCATCACAGGCAAGTTCAACTCTGTCCGACCAGCCTCTTGCAAGGGAGACCAACTACGACCGTGCCGCGTTGCTTGAGCAAGTACGACAACAAGAACCGACACTAACCGACGATCAACGTTCGGCGTATGACGCAATTTGTGACCAGGTACAGGCAAGTGACGGTGGGTTGATTTTCCTCGACGCACCCGGTGGTACAGGTAAGACGTACGTCACAAACGTACTTCTTGCAAAGGTTAGATCAGGTGGACACGTTGCCTTGGCTGTTGCCTCTTCCGGAATAACAGCCACAATCTTGGCTGGTGGTCTGACTGCTCACTCCACGTTCGCTTTGCCCTTAGATCTGCACCGCCTTGAGGAGCCAACCTGCTCGATCGCCAAAGATTCTGAGAAAGCAGCGCTCCTTCGTGAGGCTGTGCTGATCGTGTGGGACGAATGCACGATGTCATACAAGCATGCTTTCGAGGCTGTCGACAGGACTTTGCGAGACCTGCGCAGCTCTAATTCCTTGATGGGTGGTGTGACGGTTGTGATGTCCGGTGACTTTCGCCAAACGTTGCCTATTGTTCCTAGAGGCACTTCTGCTGATGAGATCAATGCCTGCATCAAGTCTTCGGCATTCTGGCGTTCCGTGGTGAAGTACACACTTACCACAAACATGCGAGTTCTGCGTAGCAGTGATACCAATGCGGGTCAATTCTCTGCGCAGCTCCTTAAAGTCGGCAACGGTGCAATACCCGTTCTGCCTTCAGGCAAAATTGCGGTTCCGAGTGATCTCGCACAGATTGCTGCTTCCCAAGAAGACATTGTACGAATAATCTACCCTGATGTCGCGGACAATTTTTCGATCCCACTTGGTTGAAAGAAAGAGCTATCCTTGCACCTTTGAATGACACTGTCACTGACATGAATGGGATACTCATGCACAAACTGCCAGGTGACTTGGTCCAGTACGAGTCTGTTGACACTGTCGAAGATGACGACTCTGGTGATTACCCTGTTGAATTCCTGAACTCCTGTAACCCCTCAGGCTTACCAAGTCACCTGCTTCACCTCAAAGTGGGTGTGCCGGTCATGCTTCTCAGGAACCTGGATGCGCCGAAGTTGTGCAATGGCACAAGATTAATTGTGAAGCGCATCCAGCGACATGTAATTGAAGCTGAGATTTTGACTGGGTCGGGTGCAGGAGAACCGGTGTACATACTGAAAATACCCACGACATCCACCAATCTGCCATTCCAACTTCGACGTGTCCAGTTCCCACTCCATGTCTGCTTTTGCATGACCTTAAACAAGTCCCAAGGGCAGTCCCTGAAGGTTGTTGGTTTGGACCTAACAACACCATGCTTTGGGGGAGGGGGGAGGGGAGGGGGAGTCTCCATAACCATTGTATTTGTCCCTGTAAGATCTCTGTTACCTGCAGCTTCCTCTGATCCAACTGCCTACCGAACCTCCTTCCCTTGCGTCTCCAGTGACCTATGGCTTCCTTGCATTGGGTTTCCACTTTGCCTTTGTTCTGCCTCTTCTGGGGTCTCTTGAGGCCACGCTTTAGCAGTTTCGTGCAGGGCATGGTGTCTCCTGCCTTGAATTTTTTTGGTGTCTCCTGCGGGTGTGCCGCAGTACTTTGCCGACGATTTGTTGTCATGGCTGACTAATCCCAATAACTGAGAACTCTATACGTGATTCCATTCACTCACCATGCTGCGCATAACTGTTCGCATTATTGTTCGAGGATGAAGCATCCCATCATCCCATATGCTGAACACAAGTACACTCTCTATGTCCAAGCTGCCACATGTACATGTACGTACATGTCTCAACATGCCTAAGGCACAATTTCCCAATAATTGGATGAGCCTTCACTATTGTAAATCTCAGTTCTATAACTGCTGATAAACAGCTACCCGGTCATGCGGTGTTACACAGCAATGTGCTGTTCATGTACTTGCTTCACCCGCATGCTACGTTCGGCCAGGCAACGCTGGCCGTGTGCTGCTATATATCATAAACGTGTGTTGAAAATTATTTTTCGTAAACCCTCTCTTTTCCCCTCTACTGATCTATACAGTTTGGCCTCCACCAGCCCCAACTCTATCCTGTCGCAGAGACAGTCATGCGTTCTGGTCCATCGTATTAAACTGAACATTGTCCCTGAACATCTCACCAAGTATAATTGGTTTACTTTCGCACGGGACACTCGCAATGGCATAGTACTTCCCAGAGCTTTGTCAACTATGTTTACCAACTCTCCTATCTTCTCTGCATACTCGTATTGGCGCAAGCTGTCCATGGAAATGAAGACAATATCCAATATTAGACAGTTCATAGACCATGTTAAATGTCATGCCACGTTGTAGGCTCGCTCGCCTCTTTTGCTAGCTTATCTCGCCGCTCTTCACCATGGTCAACAAAGTGATACATTTCACCCCGCTGATGGATTATTTTCTTCCGATTATCATCTTCTTTCCTTCATTTTTTTCTTCTCTTGCCATGGCTGGCTAACGCCCCCTCCTTTCCATTGGCTTTTGCCATTGGACGGTGAAATAAATAAAATACGATAATGAAGGAGAGAAATGAGAACAGAAATTAGAACTAGAGAGAGAAAGTAAATGAGAACAAGAATGAGAACAAGAATGGGAACTAGAATGAGAACAAGTATGAGAACAAGAATTGGAACTATAATGAGAACAAGAATAGGAACTATAATGAGAACAAGAATGGAAACTATAATGAGAACAAGAAAGACAAGATGAATCATAGCAAGAATATCGACAAGAAAGAGGAAAAAATTGGGCACATTAGTGAGAAGCATCAAGGAAGAGAAAAAGTTCGAGAAAATGAGTGAGACCAAGTTTGTAAACAAAAATGGGACAGTACAAAATCATAACACTTATGATAGCAAGGATCTTCTCTGCATAGTAATCTTGGCTTACCTTTCTGGACACAGATTAAGGTCATGTCCGGGACCAACATGACAACTGAAGTTGTGAGAGGCTGCTGCCGGAGCGACATTGCTCAACAAAGAGAATCCTGTTGACTTCTATCGACAAGACATCTCCACAACAACAACAACAACAACAACAGCAGCAACAGCAACAGCAACAACAACAGCAACAAAAGCGCTCAGAGCCGGCACTCAGAGTTTGTTGTTTGTTTGTTTTCTTTATTTGAATTCGCTAAAACCAAACGGACAGAACTGTCCAGTGACAAGGGAGCGAATGATGAGCGTCATAATCACTATGCATCAAAACATCTCAGGACAAAATGAGACAGACTATATTAAGGGAGGGTCTGCACAACACTTGTACATAAAGGGGAGTACGAGAACAAAGGCGCTGCAGAAGTCGAAGCAAGAAAGCAATCAACGCCAGAGATATTTTTGTCCACCGAAAACAGAGAGAGAGAGAGAGAGAGAGATCCGAGAGCGAGAGAGAGACAGAGCGGGCGCTCAGAGCCGGCGTTCAAACACCGGCACTCAGAGCCGGCGCTCAGAGCTGTCGCTCAGAGCCGGTGCTCAGAGCCGGCGCTCAAAGCCGGCGCTCAAAGCCGGCGCTCATAGCCGGAGCTCAAAGCCGGCGCTCAAAGCCGGCGCTCAAAGCCGGCGCTCAAAGCCGGCGCTCAAAACCGGCGCTCAGAGCCGGCGCTCAAAGCCGAGCGGCCAGGCGAGCGGCCCGGCGCTCGGCTCGGTGAGCGGCCAGGCGAGCGGCCAGGCGAGCGGCCAGGCGAGCGGCCTCGCCTGGCCGCTCACCTGGCCGCCCGCCTGGCCGGCCGCCTGGCCGCCCGCCTGGCCGCCCGCCTGGCCGCCCGCCTGGCCGCCCGCCTGGCCGCCCGCCTGGCCGCCCGCCTCGCCGCCCGCCTCGCCGCCCGCCTGGCCGCCCGCCTGGCCGCCCGCCTGGCCGCCCCCCTGGCCGCCCGCCTGGCCGCCCGCCCGCCTGGCCGCCTGCCTGGCCGCCCGCCTGGCCGCCCGCCTGGCCGCTCGCCTGGCCGCTCGCCTGGCCGCTCGCCTGGCCGCTCTCCTGGCCGCTCGCCTGGCCGGAAGCCTTGCCGGAAGCCTGGCCGGAAGCCTGGCCGGAAGCCTGGCCGGAAGCCTGGCCTGAAGCCTGGCCTGAAGCCTGGCCTGAAGCCTGGCCGCTCGCCTGGCCGCTCGCCTGGCCGCTCGCCTGGCCGCTCGCCTGGCCGCTCGCCTGGCCGCTCGCCTGGCCGCTCGCCTGGCCGCTCGCCTGGCCGCCCGCCTGGCCGCCCGCCTGGCCGCCCGCCTGGCCTCCCGCCTGGCCGCCCGCCTGGCCGCCCGCCTGGCCGCCCGCCTGGCCGCCCGCCTGGCCGCCCGCCTGGCCGCCCGCCTGGCCGCCCGCCTGGCCGCCCGCCTGGCCGCCCGCCTGGCCGCCCGCCTGGCCGCCCGCCTGGCCGCCCGCCTGGCCCGCCTGGCCGCCCGCCTGGCCGCCCGCCTGGCCGCCCGCCTGGCCGCCCGCCTGGCCGCCCGCCTGGCCGCCCGCCTGGCCGCCCGCCCGCCTGGTCGCCCGCCTGGCCGCCCGCCTGGCCGCCCGCCTGGCCGCCCGCCTGGCCGCCCGCCTGGCCGCTCGCCTGGCCGCTCGCCTGGCCGCTCGCCTGGCCGCCCGCCTGGCCGCCCGCCTGGCCGCCGGCCTGGCCGCCCGCCTCGCCGCCCGCCTGGCCGCCCGCCTGGCCGCCCGCCTGGCCGCCCGCCTGGCCGCCCGCCCGCCTTGCCGCCCGCCTGGCGCCCGCCTGGCCGCCCGCCTGGCCGCTCGCCTGGCCGCTCGCCTGGCCGCTCTCCTGGCCGCTCGCCAGGCCGGAAGCCTGGCCGGAAGCCTGGCCGGAAGCCTGGCCGCTCGCCTGGCCGCTCGCCTGGCCGCTCGCCTGGCCGCTCGCCTGGCCGCTCGCCTGGCCGCTCGCCTGGCCGCTCGCCTGGCCGCTCGCCTGGCCGCTCGCCTGGCCGCTCGCCTGGCCGCTCGCCTGGCCGCTCGCCTGGCCGCTCGCCTGGCCGCCCGCCTGGCCGCCCGCCTGGCCTCCCGCCTGGCCGCCCGCCTGGCCTCCCGCCTGGCCGCCCGCCTGGCCGCCCGCCTGGCCGCCCGCCTGGCCGCCCGCCTGGCCGCCCGCCTGGCCGCCCGCCTGGCCGCCCGCCTGGCCGCCCGCCTGGCCGCCCGCCTGGCCGCCCGCCTGGCCGCCCGCCTGGCCGCCCGCCTGGCCGCCCGCCTGGCCGCCCGCCCGCCTGGCCGCCCGCCTGGCCCCCCGCCTGGCCGCCCGCCTGGCCGCCCGCCTGGCCGCCCGCCTGGCCGCCCGCCTGGCCGCCCGCCTCGCCGCCCGCCTGGCCGCCCGCCTGGCCGCCCGCCTGGCCGCCCGCCTGGCCGCCCGCCTGGCCGCCCGCCTGGCCGCCCGCCTGGCCGCCCGCCTGGCCGCCAGCCTGGCCGCCCGCCTGGCCGCCCGCCTGGCCGCTCGCCTGGCCGCTCGCCTGGCCGCTCGCCTGGCCGCTCGCCTGGCCGCTCGCCTGGCCGCTCGCCTGGCCGCTCGCTTGGCCGCTCGCCTGGCCGCTCGCCTGGCTGCTCGCCCCTGGCCGCTCGCCTGGCCGCTCGCCTGGCCGCTCGCCTGGCCGCTCCCCTGGCCGCTCGCCTGGCCGGCGCTCAGAGCTGTCGCTCGGAGACGGTGCTCAGAGCCGGCGCTCAAAGCCGGCGCTCATAGCCGGAGCTCAAAGCCTTTGAGCCGCTCGCCTGGCCGCTCGCCTGGCCAGGCGAGCGGCCAGGCGAGCGGCCAGGCGAGCGGCCAGGCAAGCGGCCAGGCGCGCGGCGAGGCGCGCGGCCAGGCGAGCGGCCAGGCGCGCGGCCAGGCGAGCGAGCGGCCAGGCGAGCGAGCGGCCAGGCGAGCGAGCGGCCAGGCGAGCGAGCGGCCAGGCGGGCGAGCGGCCAGGCGGGCGAGCGGCCAGGCGGGCGAGCGGCCAGGCGGGCGAGCGGCCAGGCGGGCGAGCGGCCAGGCGGGCGAGCGGCCAGGCGGGCGAGCGGCCAGGCGGGCGAGCGGCCAGGCGAGCGAGCGGCCAGGCGAGCGAGCGGCCAGGCGAGCGAGCGGCCAGGCGAGCGAGCGGCCAGGCGAGCGGCCAGGCGAGCGGCCAGCTAGCAGCTAGCTATCAGCAACAGCAACAGGATGGGAAAAAGAATTAGAAGCATCAAAAAACGATAATTAAGGAGAGCAAAGAGAAATGAGAACAGAAATTAGAACTAGAAAGAGAGAAAGGAAATGAGAACAAGAATGAGAGCAAGAATAGGGACTAGAATGAGAACAAGAATGAGAACAAGAATAGGAACGACGAGCGGCCAGGCGAGTGGCCAGGCGAGTGGCCAAGCGAGCTGCGAGGCGAGCGGCAAGCGAGCAGCCAGCGATCAGCAACAGCAACAGGATGGGAAAAAGAACTAGAACCACCAAAATACGAAAATGAAGGAGAACAAAGAGAAATGAGAACAGAAATTAGAACTAGAAAGACAG